GCCGATCCCGATCCCGATCGCGATCCCGATCCCGTCGCCGTTGGCAGCAGCAGCAGCATCAGCAGCAGCAGCATCAGCAGCAGCAGCATCAGCAGCATCAGCAGCAGCAGCGGGAAATGATGATGATGATGCATCCTCCAGGCCCCCATAGCAGTAGCAGCAGGTGGCATGAGGAGCAGCAGCAGCTGCTGCTGCAACGGCAACGGCAGCACGCCTGGCAGAAGCAGCAGCAGCAGATGGCTCTGATGCAGAGGCGAGCCGCGAGACGCAGCAGGAGCTGCAGCAGCTCATGCCGCTCGGCCTCTTATAGCAGCAGCAGCAGCGGGAGGCGGCGGCGGCAGCAGCAGCAGCAACGGAGACACCGCGATGCGTCCCCAGCTAGGCGGAGGCAATTGCCCTCTAAGCAGCCCACCAGGCAGCAGCAACCTCCAGCAGCAGCAACAGCAGCAGCAGCAGCAGCAGAAGCCCCCAGCGCCAGAGGCGGCAAGACACTGAATGGCGACGTTGTGTGCGAAGGCGGAAGCAAACCTGACCAGCCGAGCAGTGCAGGAGGCAGCTGCAGCAAGAGCAGCAGCAGCGTGAGCAGCAGCAGCAGCAGCAGTAGTAGTAGTAGCAGTAGTAGTAGTAGTAAGTCAGGCGGCTCTGCTGCTGCTGCACTGCCGAAGGGATCCGAGGCGCAGGTGGGGGGAGAGCAAGCCGCATCGCCAAAGGCAGAGGCGGCAGACAGCAACAGCAAGCGCAGCAGCAGCAGCAGAAATGCTGCTAGCAGCAGTAGCAGCAGCAGCGGCAAGCTCCACCCATTGCCCTGCAGCAGCAGCTGCTCGACTAGTGAAGACAAACCCCACAGCAAGCTGGAAGGCAGCAACAGTACACAGCAGTCGAGCAGCAGCAGCAGCAGCAGCAGCAGCAGCAGCAAACAATTCAGTGACACCATGGACAGAAAGCGGATGGCAGAGCAGCCCACTGCTGCGTCCAAGGACCTAATAGGTGCGAGCAGCAGCAACAGAAGTAGCAGCAGCAGCAGCAAACGACCTCGCGCAGGCGATGCCGCGGGAGAGGACAGTGTAAGCAGCAGCAGCAGGGCAGGCAGAGAAGCAGCGCGGCCGTCCTCGGACCCAGCAGCAGCAACTGCTGCTGTTGCAGCAGAGTCCCGTGGCGCAGGAACGGCGATGTATGACAGCGTAGCCATGGATTTGAAGGGGGAGGCAGACAGCAGCAGCAGCAGCAACAGCAGCAGCAGTAGCAGCAGCAGCTCATCAAACAGGGAAGACAAGATACGGTGGAGGCAGCAGCGATTCAATGAACTGAAGGCGGCCCTCAGCAGCAAAGCTGGCAGCCCAGTAGCAGCAGATGCTGCAGCAGCTCCTGCTGCTGCTGTTGCTGCTGAGGAGGGGCGCCAACGGGCAAGCAACGAACTGCCTCATCCGCAGGTAGCGACTGCTGCTGGTGCTGTTCCCGCAGGGGGAAGGCAGCCTCATCATCATAGCAGCAGCAGCAGCAGCAGCAGCAGCAGCAGCAGCAGCAGCAGCAACAGCAGCAGCTCAAGTCAAGCTTCTCCTGCCGCGGGTAGCAATAGAGTAGCGGGCGACGTGCAGTCTGCCGCAGCAGCAGCAGCAGTAGCGAAAGCAACAGCAGCAGCGAAAGCAGCAGCAGCAACAGCACAAGCATCACAAGCGGCAGCGCCAACCAAGCCTTCAGGCAGCAGGTGGGACAAATGCCCCAGTGGCAAGTTGAATGGCACCCGGCCTGCTGCTGCTGCTG